TCATTTATTACCCCAGTAACGGTTACGCGAATCTCTGCTAGAGTTAGCGACTGACTCGCCGTTACACCGTTACAATAAATAATTTAAAAAAAATGATCGTCGCAATATTAATAATAAATTCCGGTGATTTTTTTCCGGGGAGTGTACAATTTAAGTAGCGGGAAGAAAACATAAAAATTCGGATCAATTAATGAGCATATATTAGTTCTTACTGTCATTGCTTTGTAAAGTAACTTACGTTGTTTCGTGAACCTGCAGCCTAATTTATTTTTTGTATCATTTTAGATAGCTCCCAAAGGGTGCAGCAGCTTTGTCTTTATTGGTTAGAGGTGAGAAGAGTCTTCACAATTATCATATGACATAGCATATATAGTACGTTTGTATCAATTTTTTTTCACGTTTTTAGGCGTAAAGCGTTCTGCAATGCAGATAAATATTAATTTTCCATTTTTTATTATGATCGATCATCGGGGCGATACCGAAGAAAAAGTATTTCATAAAAAATATACTAATCGCTTATTTAGTTAGATGATGAGCACTGTCTATTAAATTTACCGTGTCTTTATTGGTTGGAAGTGAGAAGAGTCTTCACGATTATCATATGACACAGTATGTTATATTACAGTATTTCTATCCCGGCTAATCTGTGCGTGAAGCATCATGAAGTGGATCTACAAACATTTCGTATCCCGATATGCAGAAAATCATCTCTGATTATTCGAGCTTTAACTCGGATCCCTCTGAAGATAATAAGGAAGAAAATGATGAAATGGATGCTCTGCTTTCTGACGATGACGATGCTGATTATTACGTATTATAATTTAAGTAGCGGGAAGAAAACGTATAAAAATTCGGATTATTATATTCGTGTAATCTTTGGCCTAATTTGTTGTAAATTCATTTCACCCATTCTGCACGCATCCATTGTTCGAAAACTTACCAAGGAAGAATGACTAAATATTTCATTGCAGAAGGGTGTATCTGGTGAAGAAGCATCTAGGCCGTTGACTGGAAAGCATGGTTAGAAAAGTTTTCGGTGATATTGCATGGTTGTTGAAGGGGTGCAGAATCAGAATTCGGATTCTCGAAGTGAAGAGAATGTAATTAAGAAACACAGATCATTGAGTAATCTCACAGAAAGTCGACATAGAAACTTCGTCATGCATCCCGGGTTACGTCCCGAAATTTGGGTTTATTTTTGCCACTATTGTATTAATAAAAACTCGTCTTCTAAAGTTTCATCCTTATTTACTGTAAATATAAAATTAGTCACCTCTAAGTTAATATAAAAATGCTACACGCCGTCAACAGTTTTTTTGTCAAAAAAGAACCAAAAGATTTAAAAACACCACGTTATAGTGCTACGCATAAGCCAGTTGATTATGTCGACGTAAATATAGTGTCAAGAGAATGGCTGTTGCAAGTTTCCTCATTTCCGTTTCTCTGGATCAACAGTAACTTCGTGCGTCACTCATATGAAAGAAGGAATGACGAAAGTGCTTAGAACCTGGATGTATTACACGCACAATTTTTAATGTTGTTGACTCAAATAAAGGCAAATTCGGTGCTAAGCACAAACAACCAGAAGTGATTGATATTCAAACCAAACTTTGTAAGCGCACAGGATGCAAGAAAAGGTGCTCTTTGCTTAGGATTATAAAATACTAATTTAATAAGAAAATTTTTTATGATGGTAAAATTTAACATTAATGGACTATGAATTTTATAATGGAATTAATAATAATAAGATAATGATAACTAAATTTGATTACAAATAAAGAATAATTAAATAAAGTATCGGTTTCTACTTGACATAGGTTCGATATGTTATATCCTCATTATTAAAGGCTATAGCCCTTGGATTTAGATCGTGCAGAGGTATATTTTGGCAATCGCCACAGTCACAGCCATTGACCCATATAGGATCTGTAAGAAATGTATAATGACCACAATGACCTTCTTTATTATCAACATGCAAGCTAAAGTGGCCTTTTGCTAATGTTCCCAAATCGTTAAAATAATTAGGAGATTCAACCGTGATATCAATTAAAGAATTTGGTAACAAATTGACATTGTTGTCCTCAACGGCGAGTCTGTCGCTAATCCGGACCAGGACTCGTACTACGTTGGGTGAGTGGGTCTGTGTCG